CTAATCAACAGAACCCGTGAATATGTTACAATACATGGCAAAGGATATTTTGCAAATGTGACTAAATCAAAGATCTTGAGATGGGGAGATTATCCTGAATTATCCAGAAGGGCCAAAGGTAAACGTAGGGTTATTAAAGGGGGAGGGAGGAGGGTAAAAGTGAGAGGAGATATGACTGAAGCAAAGGTTGTAGTGATGGAGAAAGGGGCTACCAGCCAAGGAATGTGCACAGTCTCTAGAAGCTAGAAAAGTCAACGAAACATTCTTCTTTGTAGTAGGCTGAATGATGGCCACCCAAAGATATTAGGTCCTAATTCCCAGAACCTGTAAACGTTACTTTATTAGTTTTCTAGGGCTGCCATAACAAAGCACAAACTAGGTGGCTTAAACAGACAATAAGTGTGTTTTATTTGAAGGCTAGAAGTCTGAAATCAAGGTATTAGCAGAGTTAGTTCCTTCTGAGGACTATGAGGGAGAATCTATTCCATGTTTCTTTTCTAGTTTCTGGTAGCTTCATGTGACCCTTAGCTTGTAGATGGCATTTTCCTTGAGTCTTTAGATTATTGTGTCTATCTCTTCATATGGCACATGTCTTTTCATAAAGACACTAGTCAGATTGGATTAAGAACCCACTCAACTCCAATGTGACCTCATGTTAACCAATTACATCTGCGATGACCCTATTTCCAAACAGGTCACATTCTGAGGTACTGGGGGTTAGGACTTCAACATATGATTGGGCGGTGGGCACAATTCAATCCATAACAATTACCTTATAAGGAAAAGGTTCTTTTCCTATGTGATTAAGGATCTTGAGATGGGGAGATTACCCTGGATTATGTGGGGGGGGCCCTAAACCCAGTCACAAGTATCTTTATGAGGGAGAGGCAGAAAGAGATTAGATACACACAGAAGAGGACCATGTGATCTCCATGTGACCATGGTGGCAGAGATTGGAGTAATGCGGCCACGAGTAAAGGAATGCCAGCAGCCACTAGAAGCTGGAAGAGGCAAGGAATGAATTCTCCCCTAGAGCCTCCAGAGGGAATACAGCCCTACTGACACTTTGATTTTGGCCCAATGAAACAGATTCTGATTCTGGCCTCCAGAAGTGTGAGAGAGTATATTTCTATTTTTGTTAAGCCATTCAGTTTGTGGTAATTTGTTACAGCAGCCATAGGAAACTTTTACATCCCTAGAGCCTCACACAGCTCTGCCTACACCTTAATTTTAGCCCATAAGACCCATTGTGGACTTCTCACATCCAGAACTGTAAATAACAGATTTGCATCGTCTCAAGACACTAACTTTGTGGTACTTGTTTTATTAGTGATAGGAAAATACAGAGGGAACTTCTTCAACTTGATAAAGAATATCTACAAAAACCTACAACAGACATTATATTTAATGGTAAAAGACTGAATATTTTCCCCATAAGACTGGGAACAAGGAAAGGATTCCACTACCACCAGTCTGAAAGTGCTGGGAGTTCTAGCCAATGCAATAAGGCAAGAAAAGGAAATAAAAAGCATTCATATCAGAAAAGAAGAAATAAAACTGTCCCTTTTTGCAGATTACATGATTATGTAGAAAATTCCATGGAATCTACAAAAAAAAATTATTAGAATAAAAGAGTTAAGCAAGGTCACGGGATACAAAATAAAAACACACAAAAATCAATTCTATTTCTACAAATGAACATGTGGACACCATAATTTAAAATAAAACACCATTTATAATCACTCAAAAAAAATGAAATCCTTAGATGTAAATCTAACAACACATGTTTAGGACTTGTATGATGAAAACCACACAATGCTGATGAAAGAACTCAAAGAAGATCTAAATAACTGGAGAGATACACACACCATCTTTGTGATATCAAAAATCCCTATCAAAATCCTAGCAAGTTTTTTTGTAGATATAGACAAAATTAGTCTATGGAAAGGCAAAGGAACTAGAATAGCTAAAAAAAACTTTGAAAAAGAAGAATAAAGTGGGAGGAATCAGTCTACTCAATTTCAAGACTTACTATATAGCTACAGTAATCACTCTGTGTGGTATGGCAGAGAGACAGACACATAGATCAATAGAACAGATTAGAGAACCCAGAAAAAGACCCAGACAAATATGCCCAACTTACTAGGTGCAAACATAATTCAATGGAGGAAAGAGAGACTTTTAAACAAACAATGCTGGAGCAATTAGACATCCATAGGCAAAAAAATATATATACCTCAATCTAAGTCTCACATCTTATACAAATATTAACTCAAAATGGATTACAAACTTAAATGTAAAACATAAAACTTTCATCAAAAAACATAGGATAAAATCTTTAGGATCTAAGGGGTAGGCAAAGAGTTCCTGGACTTGACACCAAAAACACAGTCTATAAAAAGAAACTCTGATAAATTGGACTTCATCAAAATTAAAACTTTTGTGCAAAGGTCACTATCAAGAAAGTGAAAAGACTATCCACAGAAAGGGAGAAAATATTTGCAAATCATATCTGACAAGGGTCTAGTATCCAAATATATAAAGAACTCTTACAACTCAACACCAAAACAACCCAATTCAAAAATGGGCAAAGGACTAAAGTAGATATTTCTCCAAAGAAGATATACAAATGCCCAATAAGCACATGAAAAGATGCTCAACATTACCAGCCATTAGGGAAATGCAAATCAAAACCACAGTGAGATTCCACTTCACACCAAGATGCCCATAATAAAAAAAAAAGAAAGAAAAAGAAAATAACAAGTATTGGTGAAGATTTGGAGAAATTGGAAGCCTCATACATTGCTGGTGGGAATGTAAAAATGGGCAACCACTGTGGAAAACAGTTTAGTGGTTTCTCAATAAATTAAACATAGAATTACCATATGACCCACTAATTCCACTCCTGGGTATAATATACCCAAAAACATTGAAAACAAGTGTTCTAACAAAAATTTGTACACAAATATTCACAGTAGCACCATTCACAAAAGCCAAAAGGTGAAAACAAACCAAATGTACATCAACTGATGAATGAATAAACAAAATGTGGTATGTCTTACCACATTTAGCCATATTGTTATTGGCTATTTAGCCATAAAATAGAATATTATTATATTCTAATATGGAATATTATTTCACCATAAAAAGGAATGAAGTACTAATACATGCTGCAACATAATGACTCTTAAAAACATTATACTTAGTGAAAGAAGCCAGTCACAGAAGACCTCATATTATATGATTCCATGTATTTCGAGTCAGAAAATCCATTGAAACAGAAAGCAGACTAGCGTTGACAGGAGCTAGAGGGAGGGCAAAATGAGAAGTGACTGCTTAATGAGTATGGGATTTCCTTTTGTAGTAATGAAAATATTCTGGAACTAGATAGTGGTGATAGCTGCACAACATTGTGAATGTACTAAATGTCACTACTGGTAAATTTTATATTATGTGTATTTTACCACAATTTTAAATATACATCCCTCAAACTGCAGGCACGATTGAATGGCGCTATCTTTCCTTGTTTAGGTTAGCACAAGAAAGTCAACTCAAAATTTCTAAGAAATCAATCATTCCAGATTTTAATTATGAAGTACAGAGCAAGGTTCTATTGTCAGTCCAGGGTCTGTACCCACCAACCAGGCAGTCCTCTTCACAGGAATCCCTTCAGAGCACTTCTGCCTCTAGGATAATGAAGCTTCCAAAATGTGGATTTCTTAAAAATTCAAATTAATCGTCACAAATCAGAGACTCCATCTAGGCAAGCCTCTCTGTTTATTCAACAAGCCCCCTTTTCTGGGCTTCTCCATTCTGAGGATGTCTAGCTATAAGATTGGAAACTGAATGATCCAGGCCCTCCAGCTTTTCTGGTCATAGTAAAAGTCACACTGTTGACCTGGCTGTCAGCCATCTAGGCTCTACTCTCTAAAAAGGAAGTCAATTAGGAGGAAACCCCGAGCTAATAGAACTCAAATTCCCCTTCTGTTCTTCTTCCTAGATTTGTGTGTTATATTCAGCTCCCTCCATCTGCTGAAATGGTGAGAATATTGTTTCTCTCCACCTTACTTTGAGAGCACATAAGTGAATTTCCATCTTCTCTTGCCATTACAACAAAAGGGCCAAATCTGAAGGGAACATTTTCCTCATTTCGGCCATACTAGGCTGGTGCTGGTCTGCTGCAGTCAGCCTGAGAAGAACCGGTTGAATCTCTACAATCCCAGGAGACAAGCCCAGTCCTTCCTAAAACAGCTCTCATTTGTGATGCCACCCGTAGCTCACAACCACAACTGCCAATCAGAGTCCTAGACCAGAATTAGGAAGAAGAACGGAGGCTGTTCCACCTCTGAATGCCCACATCAACTCTGTCAGGAAGAACAGGGGGTTCTAAGCTTAGAGATGAAGGTACAAGAAACTCACTCGGCTAGAGAACAGGACCAAGGATAAACGTGACCCAAGTCAGTCACTGACCTAACTGTCTAAGCCTGAACTCCGGATACTCGAGAGAAATCCCATGAACTCTGAAACCTGTCCGCAACAGAATGCTTGCCAGCAGCCAACATCCATTTTCATCCAGCCCCAGTTTCCACACTGCTTCAGACCCAGCAAACAGAAGGGAAAGCTGAGACTCGTACTATTTCTCGACTTCTTGTTGAATCATTTGAAGGAAATTTGGTCCTGGAAATAAGGTTTCTAATAACTTCTTTCAATCATGCCCAATCCTGAGCTGAATTGGACAAAACAAATTTCTGACTTTCAGTGAAGCCCTTATGCTCAACATTTTGGATAATTCCACAGAGTTCTCAGGGCCCTCAGAGAAATGCTCTACCCTTAGAAAAAATAATGCTAGCACCTGGGTGTCTTGGCTTTTCATCTCTGCATGCTGAGGGGAGCACCTAGCCAGTGGAGGAAAAATTGGGGGCCTGTTGGCTTCTCAGCTAGTTGGGGGCCGAGGGCACAGGGCCTAGCCACAGCTGCAGCACAGGAAGAGTGGAGGTTTGCTTGCAGTTCAGAAGTTTATTAGCAAATAAGTTTGGGCCAACTGGTGTTTACATGCTTGATCACTACAGCCCTGGTGTCCTGGCTGCAGGAGGGGAAGAGGGCTTGCTGCTCTGCTGGTCACTGTGATGTCACCCCAGGAAAACGATGGGCTTCTCTCCTGGGTCCAAGGTGCCAGGGATGAGAGCCTGTGCTATATCAGAGAGACTCCACTTCTGTTTCCAGTGCCTGGGCTGGGGAGATGAGAGTTTTTAGTATCTCCATGTAGTAGGGGCCAAACACCTGCTGATTGTGATGTGTTAGGTTGACAAACTTTTGGCCCAGTTCTGCCAGTTCTGCCTCAATGAGAGTAAGGCCTCCAGGGAGGTCTAACAGAGACCGCTGCACACCAAGAACCAAACAGCATTTGAGAAACAAATGGATCCGCTGATCTGTGAGCAGGAAAAGACAGTGAGAAGAGAAAGGGAAACAACTTTCAGGGAGAAACATCGCCCCTGCACTCTACTCACCCAAGTTCTAAGTTAACTGAGATATTCACTAACCTACCCACTCACCTAGAAATGAGGAAATTTGTTTTGTTTTGTTTGGGAAGAGGGCTGCTACCTAGCTCCCAAGGACAAAGCGGAGATCAAAAATTAGTGGGCTAGTAAGTTTCTGACTATTCAAAAGATGAAGTATCCATCAGTTAGATCCTAGTGAGTATTTAACATAACAGGAGGATCTTAGATTGAGATGGCTGAGGTTAAGAGCAAGGCCAAGTTCATGGGCTCTGTTCCCACATGGGACCTGGGAATCCCTGCTACGGGAATATGTCCTCCAGCCTAATTCAACATCAGTTTCATGTTGGTAAGGGGTGGATGTCACACATCTTGGACTGCAGTCAGAAAATGACCCAGACTTAGCGGTTAAGTGCGCGCGCTCCGCTACTGGCGGCCTGGGTTCGGATCCCGGGCGCGCACCAACGCACCGCTTCTCCGGCCATGCTGAGACGGCGTCCCACATACAGCAACTAGAAGGATGTGCAACTATGACATACAACTATCTACTGCGGCTTTGGGGGAAAAAAAAAAGGAGGAGGATTGGCAATACATGTTAGCTCAGAGCCGGTCTTCTTCAGCAAAAAGAGGAGGATTAGCATGGATGTTAGCTCAGGGCTGATCTTCCTCACACACAAAAAATAAATAAATAAAAAATAAATAACTAGAAAGTGACCCAGAAGGCGAGGGATGACTTAACCAAGTTAGTTGGACAATATGCCACATCTGGAAGTCATGAATTTCTGGGTGCAAATCTTCCTTAGAATCATAGTCAGTCTTAAAACTAAAACGGATATATTTTCAACCTAGCATTTTAAAAAAATTAAAGCCTAAACAGTGACTTGCCCAGTGATTGTGCCTTTTATTGTTCAATGGTTCACTAACTGACTTCCAGGGTTGGGATCTACCTCTACCCGCACCCCACAGGTATGCTCACCAATGACACTGCGGACACAGTTCTCCTTCGTGGCAATGTTCTGGAGCTGTCCTATCAGAGATGCTGTGTTGTCACTGCTCAGAGCAGCAAGGCCCATGTTCCTGAGGCTTTGATGGATTTCCTGAGACACCTGTTCACTCACAGTCAGCATAGCCTCCTCAGGCCTAGACCGTGAAGGAGAGTAAGCTGGCACCCAGCGGGTGGCCCTGCCATAGTCCCAGAGCCCGGGCAGCACCACACCAGAAGCTGGGCCCATTTGAGGGAGACTCCCAGCCATCCTCCTGCCCTCTCCCCAGCCCCCGGCAGCAGCAGAGCCTACTGGGTAGGGTCAGTGTCTTCACTGTTACCCTCAAGATACTGATAATTCTATATATGATACCATGTTCTACTTCACAGAAAACAAGAGAAACCATAAAATCAAATCTGGACAAGAGTTTGGCTCTGCCTTGGATCCGCTCAGTATTCTTTAGCCCCACGGAATTTATATATACGTATATACATTGTTAAGACTTTCTTGGACGTTTCCGTGATCATTTGTCCTACTCTCACCAATTACAATGAGAAACCTGGCCTTCTGATGCCTCTTTTCCCTTTAGTGTGATGCCATACACACAGGGGATGATCATCAATACTGCTGACAGACTGATCCACTCCCAGATATACAAGGCCAGGCCACTGTCATCCACTCAACTAGATAATGACTCCTTTGTTGCAAACAAGATAATGAATCATTTTGCAGCAAACTATCCTCATACTACTCTTTTTGGAAGAAAATTTTATTTTTCTCTGTCAGAAGCCTCACGACCACTTATGGAAAGATACCCACAATCTTTGTTGATGGTTCCAAAGTGCCTATCTGTGGTTTGTGGTGGAACGTAAGCAATCATATATTACCTGCCTATATCCTCACACCACATATAATCTTCTACTCGAAAAAACCTCTATGAAGCTCACCTGGAGTTAAACTCCTCCGTCAGGGCTTTGGTTATGCGTTTCAGCTTATCCACAAACTGAGGTGAGCCAAACAGAACATTGCCAGAGAAACTACTGGCCACTAGCAAGACTGAGGCCAGGATGGTTAACTGGTGCAACTGGGACTTGAGCTCCTGCAGCCAGGTTCTGTCCATCAGCAGGGTCTGGGGAAGCAGGGAGGGGCAGGCTGTAAGGAGAGGCGAGTCCTGATGGAAGTCCTGAACACAAAACAACAAGGCAGTGCCCCCCAGTCCTACCTCCGGGAACTCTTCATTTTCAGGGTCCCAGAGAAGGAGGTTCAGGAAGCCCTGGGACAGCACCATTGTGGGGCTGAGAGGCTCTGGGCTATTGGCTGCCTCATTTGGAGAGGGGCAGGCCATGCTGGAGGAGTTGGGATTGTCAGGGCAAGTCAGAGGCAGTGCGGTGAGGTCTGCTGCGGCTTGGGTCAGCCATTTGGTGGTGTGATCAAGGAGGCCTACGACAGGACAGTGTGTAAGCACCTCAGCATCTGCATCCTGAGGCTTCAAGACTTAACGTTCTTTTCAAGATATACTCCTGGTCAATAAATAAATGCTTGGTCTTTCTGTCTTGGATAACTGTTCCTTCTCCCTCCCCCTACCTGAGGGAGAAACTTTCTGTTCCTAAAAAGAAGCCGAGTACTAACATCATAAAAGTCAGACCCAAGGTCATATCTTCCCACTCCTGCCCTCGAGTTATATACATACCCGGCTGCTTGTTGAGGAGTTCCTGGAATTTAGCCCGTTCATACCAGATAGAATGCTCCTGCAGGTGGGGCTGAAAGCTTTGGATGGTGTAGTTCACCATGTCCATTTTCATCAGACCCAGAACCTGGAAGATCCCCCTGACACAGAAGAAAACAGAATATTTATACTATGAAAGGAAATCTAGCGAGAGGGAAACCTCCACAAGGAGTCATTAAATCACTGTATTCTGGAATTAGGAGGGGCTTCAAAACTAACAGTCTTGCCTCCTAAATTTACGAAAGATGACGTGTGGCCTAGGACCCAAGGCCCAGAGTGGGTGAGTGGCAGAGCTAAGAAGCACAGATAAGTGTCTGGGCCTTGAAGCCTTCAGGCCAGATCTCCTCCCACAATGGCCATTCTGTTGTCTCTTAAAAAAGGTAATCAGTGAGAGGAAACACACCAGCATACTAACAATTCTCTCTGGGAAGTGGGATTATAGGTGATGCTGGTTTTGATGCTATTTCTAGGACGATCACTTTTTTTTTTTTTTTTTTGTGAGGAGATCAGCCCTGTGCTAACATCTGCCAATCTTCCTCTTTTTTTGCTGAGGAAGACTGGCCCTGGGCTAACATCCGTGCCCTTCTTCCTCCACTTTATATGGGATGCCGCCACAGCATGGCTTGCCAAGCAGCGCGTCGGTGCGCGCCCAGGATCTGAACCAGCGACCCCTGGGCTGCCGCAGCGGAGCGCAGACACTTAACTGCTTGCGCCACCGGGCCGGCCCCCAGATCACTTTTTTTGTTTTTTGTTTTTTTTGTAACTTTTTGGGCCTTGGTTTCTATAGCTATAAAATAAGGATAACCTCCCATCCCTGTCCCTTCACACTGCATGAACTGCAACAAGAAAACCTGGGAAAGGGATGTTTGAACTCCTTGGAAGAAAAAATTATGTACTCTAATGTTCTAAGGTGGGATGTTATATAGGGGCCCAATCAATCTAAGGATAACCAGAGGGCCCTGCAAGGCCATCTTTGGAAAAGAAAAGCTAACTGGCCAGAGAGGAGAAAAGAGGAGTTAGTCAGGTCTTCAACAGGGAACAGCCATCCACGACAGGGGCAATCATCCAGTGTCTTGCCCAGCTTTTCCTGGCCCAGGGACCGAGGCACGTTTCAGGGGACAGCAGTCAAGTTTCACACCTCAGTAACCGAACAGGATCTGTAATGTTCTCTAGCTTCTGCACTGCTTCATCTCGAACTGGCGCACACAGCAAAGCCATCATGTTGAGAATATACTTAGACAGATGAGGAACATTTAGGGCCCCACGCTCTGCTTCCTGCTTGAGGAGGTCCACGTCCAGAGCTTCTTCAATCTCACTTCTTAGGCGGTTCTGGCGTGGTAACAGCAGTGATAACAAGATCTGCTCAGGAAAGAAAGTCAAAGAAGGAATTGCATTCTGTTTAGAGCCCCAAATTTCTCTAATGGACAACCCCTTCAGCCAAAGACATCCCAGCCTATGTCTTTTAAGGATCAAGAAGTCGGGTCCCTAAATTTCCTATAGAATATTATTTATCTTTGTTTAGATGCCAATCATAGTTTAAGGCTTCAGGGGATCAACTACAACAATAGTATATCATTTTCTAGGCAGAATGAAATAAAGAGATGAATAAAATCAAGGAGTGTGATAAAAAGAAATGCAAGGTACAACAAATGTAAAATACACACCATCACATGGTGATGAGGTGCTCTTCATTTTAAAGAGCAGGCATTTTTGAGAATATTTTACTTCCCAGGGAAAGGATGAAGTCGACAAAGGAACTGTTAAGAGTCACTGGAAATAGCCTATTAACCCAAAAATATAAGTTCCCTGTGAACAGAGACTCTCTTATTTATCTCTGTGACTCTGTAACATATAGAACACGGGAGGGGTGAGGGATGGGGTTCAAGGAACACTTGTTTAACTGAACGGAATACTGTGTTGTCATAGCAAGATCCCAACTGTTTAGCTTCATCTTAAATAAAATGAAAGTTGCTCCATACTATCTATTTAAATGGTAAACTATGCCAGTTTATCAATTTGGAGACTCAGTTCCAAGTCCACCGTCTGTGCCTACTCTGTGAAAACAGAGCTAGGCCCTTCAAATATTTTTCCTTTGCTGGCTAGTACAATGTTAAGTTTTGTTAGTAGAGGGTGCTCAAGAGATACTGCAAGAGGAAGAGGTCTTCCTCCCTGGCTCTGGTGTGCTCCTCCTCAGCAAGCTCCTGCAGCACTGCAGCTTCTCTTGTTCAATTTACTATCTGGTTTCTTTCTCCTGCTGGGACTCTGACTGATACAAAATAGGTACCATGAGTGAGGTTTGAACTCAAATGGACACACGTCCACTGGATCTGATAAGCAGGAAGTAGCAAGTACTTTAGATGCCTTAGAAAAACACGCAAACTAGAGGATGGCAGATAATCCCCACAAAGATTCAGCAGCCCATCACCTCAGCGAAGTTGCTAGAGCTTCAGTGGTCTAGACTTGTCAAGCTATCCCCTCCAAAGTGAAAGACAAGTTCCTATATCTTAAACCACTCACCATGAAAAAAGAGGCACAACACCTGTAGGCCTTTTGGATTTTCAAGGCAACATACACCACATTTGAGTTTGCTACTGCAACACCCATTTAGAGTCACTCACGAGGTTGCCAATTTCAAGTGGGAAACAGAGGCACGAGTAGGCTCTGCAGCAAGTTCAGGCTGCTGTACAAGCTGTTCTACCGTTTGGGCCTTATGATCCAGCAAATTCAATGATACCTGTAGTGTCTATAGCTATTAAGGATACTGTATAGAGCCTCTGCCAATCACCAATAGGAACACCACAGCACAGACCTCTAGGATTTTGGAGCAAATCTGTGCCCTCTTCTACAGATAACTATTTGCCTTTTGAGAAACAGTTTCTGTCTTGCTCCTGGGCCTTGGAAGAAAGTAAACATCTAACCATAGGACATCAAGTAACCACGTGGCCTGAGCTTCCCATGAGGAACTAGGTGTCGTCTGACCTGCCTAGCCATAAGATTGGACATGCACCACAGCAATCTGTCATCAGATGAAAACGGCCCATAAGAGACCATGTATATACTGGTATAGGACAGACACACAGACTAAAAGAATAGAGAGTCAAGAAGTAAAACCTGGATATATGGCGAAATGATTTTTGAAAACAATGCCAAGATCATTCAAAGGGAAAGGAGTCAACTCAAAATGGATCAAAGACTTAAACATAAGAGCTAAAATTCTGAAACTCTTAGAAGAAAACATGGGGGTAAATCTCCACAATCTTGGATTTGGCAGAAGCAACCAAAGACTAGATAAATTGGACTTCACCAAAATTAAAACCTTTATGTATCAAAGGGCACGATCAAGAAATTGAGGGGTCAGCCCCATGGCCTAGTAGTTAAGTTCGGTGTGCTCCACTTCAATGGCCCAAGTTCGGATCCCAGGCACGAACCTACACCACTCGTCAGCAACCATGCTGTGGCAGCAACCCATATACAAAATAGAGGAAGGCTGGCACAGATGTTAGCTCAGGGCAAATCTTCCTCAAGCAAAAAGAGGAAGATCGGCAACAGATGTTAGCTCGGGGCAAATCTTCCTCAGCCAAAAAAATTAAAAAGACTACCCACAGAACAAATAAAATATTTGTAAAACATTTATCTGACAAGGGTCATCCAGAATATTCAAAGAACTCTTACAACTTAATAACAAAAAGACAACTGAATTTAAAAATGGGCAAAGGACTTAAGTAAACATTTCTCCAAAGACATAAATGGGCAACAAGCACACAAAAAGATGCTCAACATCATTAGCCATTAGGGAAAGACAAATCAAAACCACAATGAGATTCTACTTCACACCCACTAAGATGTCTATAATTTAAATTAAAAAAAAAAAAACAAGGAAAATAAGTGCTGGTGAAAATGTGGAGAAACTAGAACCCTCACACCTTGCTGGTGGGAATGTAAAATGGTGTAGCCATTGTGGAAAACAGTTTAGTGGTTTCTCAATAAATTAAACATAGAATTACCATATGACTCAGCAATTCCACTCCTGGGTATATACCCAAAAGAATGGAAAACAAGTGTTCAAACAAAAACTTGTACACAGATGAATATAGGAGCACTCCCCACGATAGCAAAAATGTGAAAAAAATACAAATGCCCATCAACAGATGAAGGGATAAACAAAATGTGGTATATCCATACAATGTAATTGTATCCAGCCATAAAAATGAATGAAATTCTGTCACATGCTTACAACATGGATGAACCTTGGAAACATTATGCTCAAGTGAAATTTGTCATACACAAAAGGACAAATGTTGTATGATTCCACTTACATGAGGTACCTAGAAGAGTCAAATTCATAGAGACAGAAAATAAAATAGAGGTTACCAGGCACTGGGGGAAGAGAGGAATGAGGAGTTGTTGTTTAAGGGGTACAGTTTCTGTTTGGGAAGATGAAAACATTCTGGAAATGGATAGTGGTGATGGTTGCACAACAATGTGAATATACTTAACGCCACTGAATTGTAACACTTAAAATGGTTAAAACGGTAAGAATTTTGTTATATATTTTACAACAATTAAAAAAAAAATCCTAAAAAACACAAACAAGTAAGCCCCTAATATAGTAGCATTCCTCAGGGAGGATCAGCCAGCCACCTGGTGACAGATGACTTGTCTGGACCTCTTCCATTGCGGAGGGAACAGAGATTCATCCTCACTGGAACAGACACATATTCTGGATATGGATTTGTCTTCCCTGTCTGCAATGCTTCTGTCAACACCAACATTCGTGTACTCACAGAATGCCTTATCCACTGTCCTGGGTCCTGGCATGCCCCATAGAATGCGTCTGATCAAGGAACTCCTTTTACAGCAAAGGAAGTGCAGCAACAGGTTCATACCCACGTACCCCCCACTGAGAATCGACTGGCCTTAACTGAAAAGTGGAATGGCTTATTGAAGACTCACTTACAGCATTAGTTGAGGGACAACATCCTGAAAGGAAGAGGTTCTGTCTTATAACACGCAAAATATGCTTTGCATCAGAGCCAGCCGATGGCCTAGCAGTTAACGTTCAGCATGCTCCGCTTCAGCCGCCCAGTTGCAGTTCCTAGACACGGAACCACACCACTCGTCTGTCAGCAACCACGCTGTGCCGGCAGCTCATATAGAAGAACCACAACCACCTACAACTATACACAACTACGTACTGGGGCTTTGGTGGGGGAGAAAAAAAGGAGAAGGAGGGGCCGGCCCTGTGGTGTAGTGGTTAAGTGTGCGCGCTCCGCTGCTGGTGACCCAGGTTCGGATCCCGGGTGCGCACTGACTCACCGCTTGTCAGGCCACGCTGTGGCAGCATCCTATAAAAAGTGGAGGAAGATGGGCACAGATGTTAGCCCAGGGCCAGTCTTCCTCAGCAAAAAAAGAGGAGGATTGGCATGGATGTTAGCTCAGGGCTGATCTTCTCACAAAAAAAAAAAAAAAAGAAGGATTGGCAACAGATGTTAGCAAAGGGCAAATCTTCTCCTACACACACAAAAAAATACATATATATATATATATGCTTTGAATCAAAGACCACTATCTGGTGTTCTCCAAAGCCAGAATACATGGTCCCAGGGATCAAGAGGTGGAAGTAGGACTGGTTCCTCTTACTATTACACCTTATAAGCTACTTGCAGAATTTTCTTTTCCCATCCTACCAACTTTGGGCTCTGCTGATTTGTGGGGAATGTTTGCATTGGTTCCAATGAATTAGAAGATGAGACTGCCACCCTGTCATTTTGGACTCCTTATACCACTGAACCAACAGGGTAAAAAATGAGTTACTCTAGTGGCTAGAGTAACTGATCCCGAGTACCAAGGAGAACCTGGGTTGCTGCTGCACAATGAGGGCAAAAAGGACTGTACTGGAACAGAGAAGATTCTCTGAGGTGCCTCTTGGTACTTCCATACCCAATAATAAAGGTTAATGGAAAACCACAGCAAACAGCAAAAGCAAAATGCTTGAGGACTCCGACTCTTTGGCAATGAAGGTTTGGGTCACTCTACCAGATAAAGAACCCCAACCAGCTGAGGCTCTGGCTGAGGACAAGGGAAATATGGAATGAAGAGCAGAAGGAAGCCATAGATATCAACTATAGCCTCATGAACATCTACAGAATCAAATTTTCTCTTTGATTGTTAGAGGCATGTGTTTATTTATATATGCTAACCATTTTCTTCTTCTCTCTCCCTCTTCCATTATTTTATAGACAGGTTGTTGGAAGTTAACTTTACAGTTTAGCCTTTAGGTAACAGAACGTTCAATGGGACTGAATATTGAGAAGTAATACAGACAGCAATGGACACAACAACTGTTGGGATCCTGAGTCTTCTCATTTTGGGGAAAGGATGAGAACTTGTAAGACAGATAGCTATATCTTATTAGGTAGAAATAGGATTCTTTTCAGGAATTCAAATGTGTGTAGAAGGGTGCATAGGGAAGCCGAGTAGCCAAAGGAACAGAATGTGACATTTATCAATTTGCCTCTCAGCTCCAAATCCATCCTTCTTTGCTCTGCTCTGAGAAAATGAAGTCAGTCCTTTAAACATTCTTCCTTTACCAGGCGGCACAATTTTAAGCTTCAGTTGTAGAGGGCACTATTAATTAGTTTTCTGTGCTGCATAACAAATTACCATAAATGTAGAGGCTTAAAACAGCATATACATTTATCCTCTCACAGTTTCTGTGGGTCAGGAGTCCAGGCACAGTTTAACTGACTCCTTTGTTCAGGGTCTCGCAAGGCTGCAATCAAGGTGTTGGCTAGGCTGCATTCTCATTTGGAAGCTTGACTGGGGAAGAATCTGTTAGCAAGCTCATTCAAATTGTTGGCAGAATTCATTATTTCCTTACAGCTGTATACTTGAGGGCCCCAGCTTCTCTCTGGCTGTTGAATGGATGTTGCCCTTGGGTTCTAGAGGCCACACGCATTTCCTTGTCATGTAGCCCTCTCCACAGGCAGTTCACAACATACCTGTTTGCTTCTTCAAGGCCAGCAGAGTCTCCAGACCCCAGGAGAGTCTCTCCCCAGTCTGCTAAGACGGAGTCTTACATAATGAAATGTATTCCTGGGAGTGACAACCCATCACCTTTGCCATATTCTATTGGTTAGAGGCAAGTTACAGATCTCATCCGGACTCAAAGAGAAAGGATTATACAGGGTGTGGATCATCGGGGGTCACCTTAGGGTGTGTCCACCACATCCTAGAAAGACACTGCAAAACGCCAGAGCTCTTCTTCCTGATTCTGGAGTGCCCATTTGGCAGGCTCCTGCAGTTTCTGTGGCTTCGCCAGTAGCCAGCTCCTGCAGCCTGAGTAGCTTCTCCAGTTCTGGGCTCCAGCAGAGCCAGTGGCTGCTACTCCAGTGCCAGGCTCCTGCAGCACAAGCAACTGCTCCAGCACCCAGCTCCTGCAGTGCACAGTGGTCAGCAGCACACACAGGCCACAACTTGCCCGGGCACAGCCAGGGCCTCTCAAATGAGTCCTTGGGTGTTCTATCTCAGCCACAGGGGTACAGTGGATTCTCCTTCTATCTGATATTCTAGTATTCTTCAGAGTTCTCTTTGCTTCCTACTAGCCCAAAGCCCTTGTTTCTCCAATTCTGTTATAATAATTTTTATATTAAAACTTCCTTGTTGAAACTACTGTGTGATTTGTGTCTACTAATTAGACTCTGGCTGATTCATGGACCACGTTCAGTTAGACTTTGCTAGCCACTGATACTCCAGTGAGCTAGGGATGTCCAGGAATTTTACATCTACAACTAGAAGGTTGGTCACTCACCTCTTTTATTTCTTTCAGAAGTTCAAGAGCACAACTGAAGTCTGGGGGAGCAGCTGATAGTTGCTCTTTAAGATGGTCCCAAAAGGCATTGTGCATTGTCTCCTTGACCTTGCCTTCCAGACTGTAAGAGGGATAAACGAGCAAATTACTTTCTCTATCCAAAAACTATTGTAAGGTCATTTTCTCCTAAGCCCCAAACAAACAGCATTTGATATGATAAAAGACCATTACACTGACAGTGTCTTGACATGAGTACAGCCATGTTTGGCTGCTCCATTGACCTACAGCCACCAGCACAAAAAGAAATATAAAAGCTGCTTTCTGCGTGGTGGGAACTGGCCCTTCTCCCATGGAGATAGTTGCAATGTGTAAAAATTTCAAGGCCTTTCGGGCGCCGCAGCCTGTGACAGACTGGCCATCTGTGCCGGGCTGGGACGATAAGCAAGGTAAACAATGCACGTACACAACTACAGGGCTGGGACGACAGATGGGGGGCAGGGCTCAGTGCACGTACGCCACTGATAACCATTAGTGCATGGGAACACTAGATGCTTGCTCTGTAAACTCTGTAACTGCTTATATAAACTGCTGGAGACTGAGACCCAGTGAGAGTTCCACCTGTGGAAGGGACGCCTTGCCCAGGACGTGTGAGTCCCGCCCAGCCGTGTCGATTGACAGGACTCTCCCGGCAGTGGGGCGTGGATGTTGTAATTGATTTATTGTGAAGTAATTGATCTGATGTGTTCTCTTTTCGGTCAACCTGGTGTTTCTCTTTCTGGTTGATTTGTGTCATTTCCCTTCAGTCGATCTGGTGTTTCCCTTTCTGATCGATGTGATGTTTTTCCCTCTTATATGACCTATTCAGATCTGCTGCTATCTCAGCCGATGTGGATGTTTTCCCTTTCCAGTCGAGCTGGTGTTTTTTCCCTCATTATTTGACCTATTCGGATCTGTTTGCGGACTATCGCCTTTACTATCCTCTATATAATAAAATATACCTTCAGTCCATTTGTTTGGAGTGGAAAGTTTTTTTTACATCTCCGATTGAATCCCCGAACCTCTCATAACAGACGGGGAAAGGCCAGGAACTGTGTTGGACCACAGCAGAGTTGAACAAGCTGGGGTTAGACCTGGATGTCAAGGGCATCAGTAAAATCTCTCAGAAGAGCTCCTCATGGTTCCAGAGCAGCCCTCCCTCTGCAGTAGGAAGGACCCTGAATAGAGGTCAGGCCAAGCTAATTTAGCACTGATTTTGCATCTAGCCTAGATAATACGTGACTTAGTTTCCATTTATGTATACATACAGCAATGAAATAAATTATCTTTCATTTTCTTATACTATTCCTAAAATCTAAGAAAGGATTTTCCTTCTTTGGTAACACCTGAATATCCATAGATATTTCCAAATCAGCAGGTCGAAAACTGAATTCACTATCTTCCCCCTCCAAAACTGTTCCTCCTGTATTCCCAATCTCAGTGGCTCTACCACGTAGCCAGTCATGAAAGTCAGAAAGATCAGTCTTTTTTTCCCTTAAAACAAACAGAAGCAGCAAGGCAATTTAATTTAGAAAGGATAGTCTTTTCAACAAATGGTGCTAGAACAACTGGACATTGTAAAAAAATGAATCTAGACAGAACTTATACCTTCCACAAATGGATCACAGACCTAAATGTAAAACTTAAAACCATAAAACTTCTAGAAGACAACATAGGAGAGAATCTAGGTGACCTCGGGTTTGGCAACTACCTTTTAGATACAACACCAAAAGCAAGATCCATGAAAGAAAAAATTGGTAAGCTGGACTTCATTAAAATTAAAAACTTCTGTTCTCTGAGAGACACTGTTAAGAGAATGAAAAGACAAGCCAGAGACATTTTACAAAACACATATCTGATAAAGGACCAGTATCCAAAATATACAAAGAACTCTTAAAACTCAACAATAAGAAAACAACCCAATTTTAAAACGGGAAAGATCTAGACACCTCACCAAAGCAGATATACAGATGGCAAATAAGCATATGAAAAGACGCTAAACCTCATATGTCATTAGGGAATTGCAGATTAAAATAACAATGAGAGGGCCGGCCCCATGGCTTAGCGTTTAAGTGCCCGCGCTCCAGTGCTGGCGGCCTGGGTTCAGATCCCGGGCGCACACTGACACACCACTTCTCTGGCCATCCTGAGGCCACGTCCCACATACAGCAACTTAGAAGGATGTGCAGCTATGACATACAACTATCTACTGGGGCTTTGGGGGAAAAAATAAATAAATAAAATTAAAATAATAATAATAAAATAAAATAACAATGAGATACTGCTGCACACTTATTAGAATGACCAAAATCCAAAACACTGACCACACCAAATGCTGACAAGGATGTGGAGCCCCAGGAACTCTCCTTCATTGCTGGTGGGAATGCAAAATGGTACAGCCACTCTGGAAAACAGTTTGGCGGTTTCTTACAAAACTAAACATACTCTTGGCGTACAATTCAGCAATTGTCCTCCTTGGTATTTACTCAAATGAGTTGAAAACTTATGTCCACACAAAAATCTGTATACAGAGGTTTATAGTAGCTTTATTCACAACTGCCAAAACTTGGACGCAACCAAGATATCACTCTGTAGGTGAGTGGATAAATAAACTGTGCTACATCCAGACAATGGATTATTCAGCACTAAAAAGAAAGGAGCTTTCAAGCTCCCAAAAGACAGGGAGGAATCTTAAACGAATACTGCTACGTGAAAGAAGCCAATCTGAAAAGGCTACATTTGTATACCGTACGATACATACTGTATGATGGCATACATATTGTATGATTCCAACAATAGGACATTCTGGAAACCTATGGAGACAGTAAAAAGATCAGTGGTTGCCAAAGGTTTGGGGAGCAGGGAGAGAAGGATGAATAGGTAGAACACAGAGGATTTTTAGGGCAGTGAAATCACTGTGTTATGATACAGTAATGGCAAATACATGTTACTACACATTTTTCAAAACCCATAGAATACAAAACACAAAAAGTAAACCCCAATATAAACTACGGACTTGAGTTAATAACAATGTATTAATACTAGATCATCAGTTGTAACAAATGCACCACACTAACACAAGACGTCAATAATAGGGAAACTGTATGCGGGAAAAGAAGGGGGTATGTGGGAACTCCCTATACTTTCCAATCGTTTTCCTCTAAAACTAAAACTACTCTAAAAAAATTGTCTTAATTAAAAAAAAGAAATTACAGGAATTAATTTCTTCTGTATGTTTATTTAAATCATGCCGCTGACCTATAGACTAATAAAAAGAAAAAGAAACATTTGAAAATTCTGAGGCTGTACCTAATCATTGCCAAATAGCTATTGGTTTTCTTGAATTAAACATCCCCCCCTTAAAAAAAAATACAGTAGTAACGCATGCTCCTTGTAAAACAAAAAACAAGCAATACGAAGATGAATAAAACAAAAAGCCAAAGTTCCTCTCCCAACACACTGATCTCAATCATCAGAGGTAACCAACTATAACCTGTGTAATGGTCTAGTGTGTACTGGAATTGTTCTTAACTCTTTTCTCCTCATCCGCTTTATCCAATCCTCCTCCAAGTTCTATAAATTTTGCTTCTTAAATGTCTCTGGAATCCATCCCCTCCTACCATTATCTCTTACCTGGACTACTGCAATAGTCCATTAACTGGTCCCTCTGCCTTCAGTCTTGTCCCTTTTTAATCTGTTCTCCATCAATTCATTCTAAAAATCAATACTTTTTCTAAGATGCAATTCTGATCATGATGTCATGCTCATTTAAAGTCCTTTAGGGACTTCTCATCACTAGCAACATAGATGGCTTATATGACCCTTCCTGATATTGCTCTGCCTCCCTTTCTAATTTATCTCCTCCTGCCTCATAATACTTTGTGCTCAACCACACCAAGCTACTTACAAAGAACATACCATATTCTACCACCACTCTGTGTCTCTGACATGTTTCCTCTGCCAGGAGCATTCTCTCCCACCTAGACCACCTGGAAAGCACCTATTCATCCTCTAAGATTCAACTCAAGTCTTCGTAGGCAAAAATCCTTTCTCCATAGACAAATCTCTGATCCTCCTTAGGCAGCTGAGCTCTCTCGTTAAACACTACACACACAGCTGAGTGAACTTATCAGTCATTTCTGTTATTCAACGGTCTCCCCTGCAAAAGCTTTTTGACAGCAAAGACAGTGCCTTATTTATCTATAGCTACACCTATATATCTATATCTATCCCCAGCACTCAGCATTTTTGCCTGCCGCATAATAGGGACTCAATAAATGCCTGATGAATGAATGTCCAAACATGGGATTTCCCTTAGAAACCTAGAATTGTAGTTAACATCATCATATGAGCCCAAAGCAAAGCCAATTGCCTATAATGAGTAACCTCAAACTCAATTTCAACCAAAAGGTTGAATTATATCAGGAAAAATCCTGATATAAATCTTGTATTACCTTATTTGAAAACCCAGCTCTGAACAGTACTAGTTCCCTGCTTCACTTCTCCCTCTCGTTTCCTCTACCGGCCCCCCAACTCCCTCACTACCACCCCTTTAGCAGACTCTCGCTCTCCCTGTTTCATTTTTTTTTTTGTGAGGAAGATCAGCCCCGAGCTAACATCCATGCTAATCCTCCTCTTTTTGCTGAGGAAGACCGGCTCTGAGCTAACATCCACTGCCAATCCTCCTCCTTTTTTTTTGTTTCCCCCCAAAGCCCCAACAGATAGTTGTATGTCATAGTTGCACATCCTTCTAGTTGCTGTATGTGGGACGCGGCCTCAGCATGGCCGGACAAGCAGTGCCTCGGTGCGCGCCGGGGATCCAAACCCGGGCTGCCAGTAGCAGAGCGAGCGCACTTAACCGCTAAGCCATGGGGCCGGCCCCTGTTTCATTTTTTTGTGTGTGAGGAAGATCAGTCCTGAGCTAACATCTGATCCCAATCCTCCTCTTTTTGGTGAGGAAGATTGGCCCGGGGCTAACATCCGTGCCCATCTTCCTCCACTTTATATGGGATGCCACCACAGCACGGTTTGACAAGCGGTGCATCGGTCCGCACCCGGGATCCGAACCTGCAAACCCCGGGCCACCGAAGGGGAACGTGTGCATTTAACCGCTGCACCACTGGGCCAGCCCCTCCCTGTGTCATTTTTCCTCCTCTTCTGCCAGCAGCAAACATCTCAGCAGTGGGAGAGGTGCTAGGAGATCTGGGTTTTGGTGAAAACCTGTTCCCAGAGGAGCTGTGCTTGGCATGGACACTTGGTGGCACCAGGCAAGGGCAAATCACAGCATGAAGACTAGGGGAGCAACTTGTGACAGAGGACAGCACTTTAGTAACAGATTCCCTGAAATGCTAAATAACAAAAGCATTTAAGGAAGCCAACTAATCACAAGCCGACATTATTTGTCTATTGGTGGGAAATCTGAACTGTTTTAAAATGTAAAATCTGACACTCAATTTACTCACTTAACTGCCAATAAACCAGAAGAGCCATTCATTCATCTCATACTTACTGAATGGTTCTTATTTATTTGTTGCAATGTTAATATAACTAAGAATCAAAATAAAGCTTGATGGGGGTGGGGAAGCATTATTTATCAACAGAGTTCTGATCTTGATTCATAAATTAAACTGATTTATGGAGCCAGGTCAAAAAGAGTTGAAAACACCACTGTTAGAAGATTAATTTTTTTAATCTGTGCCTGTTTAATCTGTGATCATTTAAAAGAGTAAATGATAGGCGCTACCTGGTAGGCAGCTGATAAAACGACCCCAAAGATCTATGATTCCTAGTTTGCACACCCTGCTGTAATCCCATCTCCTGGAGTGTGGGTTGGGTTTAATGACTCTCTTCTAGCAAACAGAATGTAGCCTGAGACACAGAATGTAGCAGAGGCGATAGGATGTCACTTCTGAGATTAGATAACAAAAGGACTGTGGTTTCCATCTTGGGCACCTCTGTTGCACTCTTATTCTCTCACTCTGAGTGAGGGCAGCCAGCTGCCATGTTGTGAGCTGCCCTATGGAGAGGCCCCTGTGGCAAGGAACTGAGGGAGGCCCTGGCCAACAGTCAACAGATTGACTGCAACCTCATCAGAGACCTTGAGCCAGAGCCACCCAGTTAAACCATGCCTAGGGCTGGCCCCGTGGCTTAGCGGTTAAGTGCTCGTGCTCCGCTGCTGGTGGCCCGGGTTCGGATCCCAGGCGCGCACCGACACACCACTTCTCCGGCTATGCTGAGGCCGCGTCCCACATACAGCAACTAGAAGGATGTGCAGCTGTGACATACAACTATCTACTGGGGCTTTGGGGGGAAAAAAATAAATAAATAAAATCTTTAAAAAAAAAAAAAAAAAACCATGCCTATAGTTAAACCATGCCCATATTTCTGACCTACAGAAACTGTGAGATAATGAACATTGTTTTAGCTGCCAAGTTTTGGGGTAATTTGTTATGGAGCAATCAATAGCTACTACAGGCTACTTCCTCCACATCTGTCAGATAAGATCTGACATCCACCCTAACTATTTATATTTTATTATTAACTGGGGCCTCAAAGTGAACATTCGAACAATTGTTTTGGTTTATTCACTAGTTAAATAACATTTGCTTCTTGACCCTCTGATACTATTACTCTTCCGTTTAAGTTGTTGAGACCTCTTAAGGCTTATATTCAAACACTGATTGTATTCTTTTTTTGCCAGTTTTATTGAGAAATAATTGACTGATTGTATTATTAAATAAAAATGCTTCACATATGGTCAGAAGCCATTAGTGCTAAATACCTATGCCAGGATGAATAAAATGGGAAAATCAGAAGAGCCTGTACCTGCTTGGAGGTAAAACTGTCTCTTCCATGTGGAAATCATGATTCATCCCAATCTTGCTGCTCAGCTTGGACACGTTGTTAACTCTATCTATCAGACCTGTGACAGAAAGAACTTATGGTGTACACCTGAAACTACTATAATGTTATATGCCAGATATACCTCAATTAAAAAAAAAAAAAAACTTATGATAGACAACAGTGAACCCACACAAATCTGAATTTCTAATTCATTCCGAGATTAACTCTACCGAGTAGACCTCAAATTTAGATTCTTCAAACCGATCTTACACAAACTCATTCAACTATTCTAGTCATTTATGTGTTCTGACCTCTAGGCCCCATGACAAGCGCCTCTCAGAGTATTCCAGCATGGGGGTAAGAGAGGACAAAGAAGCTATTTTATAAAAAACAGAAAGTAAAATTGATTTAAAACCTCTCTTAAAAAGTAAAATAATTAAGTAGCAAAGAAATAATAATTTGATTTGCAAAAATAAACATTTATCTAAGGGTAATTCGATTCTACTCTTCTCTTCCTGCCTCTAATGAAAGTTAAATTCCCCATACAGATGGTACTGAATGCTGCCAATGTCACTTGGTCTTCTAAATCAATAGTTCCCAGATTTTTAGATTTCACAGACTAATAATTTCCAAAAAGATCTTGAGCAACTGACAACAATTTGCCAACTTTTTGTTTTGCCAAGTATGGACAGCGAAACAAACAAATAAAAGATCTACTCTACTGCAAACAAAACTGTCATTTCATAAAAGAAAGGATAGTTTAACCTCCAAAAATGCAGAAAGGGAATATTGTCAGAATAAAGAGTTGTCCTTTAAAGTGAACCAATTTAGCTTTAGGAAAAACTCGTTACAATATCTTTATTTCATTTCACTAAATATTGTTAAGAATTTTGTCACAAACCAGCACTAGCATTTGGGAACCACTGTTCTAAGTTCTTCATACAGACCTACCTGATAGCACTCTCAAATAACAGGCATATATGGCAGTTATAATGATTACTTGGTATATAAAACAAAGTTGCACACGATAAATTATATTTTCTCACTCTCTTTCAATGAAGCTTCCTAATTTGTTCACAGAAAAGTATTTGGCTCCAAGATGTGGAGGGGATATAAATGAACTAAGATTCGCCTTGAGTTGATAATTGTTGAAGATGAATGATGAGTAAACGGGGGTTCATTATACTAGTCTCTCTACTTTTGTAAATACAGTTTTCCATAAGTAAAAAGATTTAAAAATGTAAAAAGGAAAAATAAAGTTATTGTAGAAAAGAGGTTATATAGGAGAATGCCTTTGTTCTTAGAAGATACATAATGAAATTTTTAGAGGTAGTCACGACTAACTTACTTTCAGTAAGAAAGAAAAAATACATAGGGAGAGAAAGACAGCAATATGGCAGAATGTTAATGTGGGCATTCGCTGTATTTTTTTTTTCATTTTTCAACAAATTTGAAATATTTCAAAATAAAAAGTCAAGGGAAAAGGTAAGTGTAGAATTTACCAAAAAGCCATTGAGTCTCTGCTTAGGTAAACAAAGGTGAACTGAACCTTAAGTGGGTAGTTGAAGTTCCCTTTATTTATTTATTTAATTTTTTGTGTGAGGAAGATCAGCCCTGAGCTAACATCTGCCAATCCTCCTCTTTTTGCTGAGGAAGACTGGCCCTGAGCTAACATCCGTACCTATCTTCCTCCAATTTTTTTTTTTTAATATGGGGCGCTGCCACAGCATGGGCTGACAAGTGGTGCATCAGTGCACGCCTGGGATCCAAACCCGGGCCGCCAGCAGCCGAGCGTGCGCGCACTTAACTGCTACACCACGGGGCCGGCCCCTGGGTAGTTGAAGTTTCCTTTATTTTTGCAGCTTCTCTTAAGTCTTTAGTTCCAGGCATAATGGCAGAGCACAGTCAAATATGTAAATAGACCTACCACTAATTCACTAATGCAAAATCAGAACTAAGAGAAAATTTTCAAAGTGAGATTGAGCTACAGCCACTTATTGAAGGACTGAGGGAAATATACACAAACACTTTCCAACTACAACAAATCAAAGTTCACAGCCTGCTTTGACAAGATTGTGCTGTTGCTCACAAGCACCATAACACCATAATCACACTCGGGTCACCTCCTTCTCCAGGGGTAAAATGCAACTAAAGTAGATTTTAAAAACCCAGGACCCATGGACAGAGAAATTTTCAAGATCATATAGTAACTTAACCAAGTCCATCTAATATATAAAATTTCAAATTTAGTTTTTTTAAAGAGGAATTTGGTTATTCACTTTACAGAGAGTTGTTTTACCTATAGATTCACTTAAATAGCCACCTCAAGAACTTAAACTGTATTCAATTGACTTTCACCCCACATCAGGTTCACCTCTCAAGTATTCCAAAGCACCCAATTTGCCGCTTTGGTGCCGTTCTGTTAGCCAGCAGCGACCCCATGTGGCTACAAGAGAAACAAACGTAATTCAACTCAGTAAGCAGGGCCTTGAACTAATTTTTCCCATTTCAATCTTCAAGAATTTAACTCAGGCGTGTTGCATGTAGACAGGTCTTCACATTGACAACCGGTTCAATTCTCTGAAGATTATTATAAGAGAATTTCAGGATGAGTCCCAGTGAGATTAGTCCTACTAAAGTGGAGAAGAGACCTCGTGCCCCAATAGGAACATAAAAGAAGAGCTACTACACTAGAGCTAAAGACCCTGAGCCCAGAGCAGCGTTACTTCTGGAGTCAACCAAGCACCGAGAGAACACAATTGCTGTCGGGGATCATTTGGGTTCTTTAAAACTTACCCCAGGTGTCAGCTATTCTTCACCTACAAATTCAAAACAGAAGAATAACGAAGATGGTTTTGAACTGACTCAGCCTCAAATCCTGTCACATTTAAGTAATCACACTCGGGTCACTTCCTTCTCCAGAATCAGAAAGACCTTCTGGTCAATGGGGGCCTAGAGATTGGGGTGGGAGGAGGTAAGGAGAAGGGTAAACCAAAAGAGGAGGAGAGGGAGGGGGAGGAGAGAGAACTGCGGGCTGCAGCGCCCGGGCCCTTCACGGTGACACCGGAGCCCGGGGCAGCCGTCTGAGCCGGCCCCCTAAGCAGCCCCGAGGGCGACGGGGTCGGGGGGCTGGACCTACGCGGCGGGTGCGCCTCGGGGCCGCTCTGGTCTTCCTGGGTCGGCACGGATGTTTCGGGCTCACAGGACCCGCTCTCGGTGTGGCCAGGGTCCTTCAGGGGCACCTTCTCCTCGACGTCCGGCATGTTGCTGATGGACTCTGGGTTGGGGAGGCAGGGCGTGCTGTTGGCGTCGGGCAAGGGGGCTCTCCAACTGCCGAGGGAGGTCTGAGGCCCGGCCCGGCGCGCCCCACCTGGACAAACCGAAAGGGGAGGGGGGAGCAGCTTCAGGGTCTCTCAGGGGACGGCCAGGGGCAAAGGAGCCTGGAGGAGAGGGGGTGGGGAATCAGAGAGAAGCCAAGCGCTGGACGCGCAACGAGGAAACTGCAGCCAGCGGGGCCACGGCGCGGGCGGCCCGCGCTGGGCAGGGCCCTACGTCGAGCTTTCCTTCCCAGATCTCCTCAGCCGAAACCCGCCCCGGGCCCGCTCCAGCTCCGGCTCCGGCAGCAGGAGGAACCGTCACCGCCCCGGCTCTGGCGTCTCACCTACTGCCCCGCGACGGCCGCCCACGCTGGAGTCGGCTCGGCGGCCGCGCAGCCCCGCGGCCCGGGCCGTACCACCTCGGCGGGGCGGCGG